ATGTATATGTTGGACATTGTAAAGCATCATTTGCTGCACACTAGAGGTGTTTCATAATGGTTTTGAACTATGAAGGATTGGGATTTTTAACAAAAAAATGTAGAGAAAAGAAAAGGAAGGATAAAGGAAAGAAGTGCCAAGGTGCTTTTGAGATTCACATCTCAGGATTTACATCCAAGGCTGCATCACAGAATACAAAATTGGAAGACTCTATAAATGGAAACTTTCAAACATCGCATTTTGTTGAAGATAGGCTATTTTTTTATATATAAAAACTTTCAAATTTTAATCATCAACAAATCTAGTCCTTAATAGTCCTTCATAGGAAAGAATTTTTGTTCTACTAAAATAAAAGATCTTTTTTCTAATAATTAGGCTATAAAAAAGATTGACAAATTAACTAAATTTCTAGATCAAGTAAAATCCTAATTTATAACTTACCTTTTAAAAATAAGGTTCAAAATCTCTACTCAATAATTAGAAAAAAATCTCCTTTATTCATTGGTTAATTTGTGATCTTCTAACTGAATGTCGTGTTACATGATTACCATGCAGTTCAGATCGTGTTCTTCAAACACCTTTTCAGGGGTGGATGATGGCCATTAGGAGTACAGGTAACTGTTAGGTTTCAACTTTGACTTTATATTTTATTTAGTAGTACATTGAAATGGATGTTAACAATGGTGTATTGTTCCAGATCATGGCACTTCTTAGTGGCTTTGCTGGGGTATATACAGAGGTACTTATTCAAACTGTTTCTGTTGAAGCAGTTGCTTCACCTGTATTTTGCTTTTTTTTTGTGGGTTTTTTCCCGCATGGGGGGGGGGTGCATCTTTTGCTACGCATAGGATGTGGCTATATATGAGTTCACAAGTCGGCAAAGTGCATGTGTTCATATGGATAACCAACAGTAGTAACCATTAGGCAAACGTCTTAACTGTCTAAAAGATCATTATGTTTTGGCCTGTGTACTAGCCTACTAGGATATCAAACTGCTCTTCTTTTCACGGTGCTGCTTGTATCCATCTCCATAGTAACTGGCAATTGTAGGAAAGTTTACCTCACAGATCTGGTCATGATACGGGTGTATCTTCTCTTCGGAAAAGCAATCCTCATGGGAGCTTGAGGATAGGTGATTTTCATGATATCTTGAGAATAGAGGTGTGGTTGGAGCCAAAGAAGACGGCGAAAGAAGTCAACAGGAGCGAAACGCAAAAGAACAGGGTAAACTGGCAGATCTCTGGCCGGTCGACCGCAGCACACATGCTGGTCGACCGGAAAACCTGCACGATGCAGGGTTTGAGAAAACTCTCTGGCCGGTCGACCGGACCAAGTCTGGCAGTCGACCGGATCGCGATTTCTGGGTTTCCTGTTTCGTTTTGGATTCTGTTTTGACAGGGATTCCTGATCCTTTTTGGACTTGTTTATTTACAAGATTACCACCACGTTGTAAACCCTATAAATAGGGATTGTTTAGGGTTCTAAACAAGGAGGTTAGAGGCCAAGATGTAGTCCTAAAGGGTTTTAGGTCTAAGTGAAATCCTGATCAAAAGGATTAGGGTTTAGATGAATGAGATCTCAGAGAGAAGTGATCAAGAGAGATTCTAATCAAGAGAGATTAGGGTTTAGAGAGGATTGAGAGGTTGTTCTCGATTCTAGTGAGATTGTGAGGGAGAGATTGTAATCTTTTGTTCTTCATAATCTAGAGAAGGTATTTTCCTTCGCCTTATACTGAATTGTTCTTGTGTTTGGTCATCCTCTTCTCAACCCACCTTTTGGTAATTCCGCGACCAAAGGGTGCTCGCACGGCAACTCGTATCAGCTCATTATCAGACCTTGTCAGTCATGCACACTTTGCATTAGTGTGGCTATCAGCTGGCTATCTGGCCAAACATAGGGCTTCATGGATAGCAGGTTGTTGGTGAAAATGGAGTGAAAGAGTTGTAATATCAGATTTCTTACTGGAAGAGAGTACTCACATCAAAGTAGGAAGATCACTAGCCTTCTTAAATTTCCTCCATTGCTCGCTCCAGGCTTCTTCCACACAGGACGTGTCAACCTCTGTGCATACCTTCTATTATAAGTGTATGAGCAAGCACTTCTTCCCATGTCATGTTGTTCCGTGGATACTATTCTAAAATTTTTATTGCATATGCATGTCATATATGCATCCATGCTACTCAGAATTAATACACTCCTGCACCCAGCAATCTATCACTTGTCCCTTGCATAATTGACCAGGAGTTCACCTGCAGTTCCTTCTCAGCAGTTTGTCTACCTGAGCATTACTCGCATATTATGTGTCAGCACGTTGGTGTTGAGAAATGGACAGATAGCGTTGTAATTGTTATAGAATATAGATTACGAGAAAGGAATCCTCTTTAGTTCATAGGGACAGCTCAGGAACATCCATCTAGGTAGTTAAACTTCCTGGCTTCTGCAGGCTTTTCCAGGTTGACATATGGAGTATCAAACAGCACATACAAACTTTCCTTTTGAAGGACAAAATAGGATGCAACACTACTTTACATGCATATTATTTCATATAGACTGTTCTAGAATTTGTTGTGTAGGTATCTCTTGTTATGTATTGATGTTTCTATTGCATTACTTTTTAACCCAAAAATCTACTGCCTGGTACTCGCATAATGTCTCAAGCAGCCCATCAGTGTTGCTTGCAGGATGTACAGCTACATAAAAGGAGAGATTTCC